GGTGGGACACATTACAGTGAGCCATCACACGGTGGGACACATTACAGTGAGCCATCACACGGTGGGACACATTACAGTGAGCCATCACACGGTGGGACGCATTACAGTGAGCCATCACACGGTGGGACAGATTACAGTGACTTAGCTCACAGCAAGACAGATTGTTGTGATAAAGGAGAGATTACAATGACCCATTACACAGTGAGACATATTATAGTGACCCAGTTTACAGCAAGACAGATTACAGTAGGGTTCTCTAGTTCTGGTGCCCAGGGGGCAGAATCCAACACAATCAATAGGTTTCCATGTTCAAACACACTTTAATCAGCTAATTACAAGGTTTCTTAAGTATGTTTGAAACATGCAAAATGTGTTGGATTCTGCCTCTCCAGCACTGGAATTAGGGAACCCTGGATTACGGTAATATAGAACACAAAGATTACAGTGACCCAGCTCATAGTGAGAATACAGTGATTGAGACACACCACAGTAACACGTAAGAAAAAAAATACAGTGACCAAGCACTCAAAAAAGTGGACTACATTATAAAATAGAATTTTTAAGGTTTAACATTTCCAGGGGAAAATCCCAGTTCCTTTACAGGATATTGTGGCCTTAACCTGTTAGACAGAGTAAAACCAGCCAGCAGAGTATATGGAGTGGGGGTGCACAAATTAATAAGAGGAGGAAAAGCGAGGTGATGGAAGGCCACTTACGTCACAATTTGGTTTGGTTTTAGGAAATACTCCAGTGGGTAGCGGCAGGAGAACTGGTAGTACAGGTCAGTGGCATAGCTGATAATTCCATAGGAGGACTTGGGTGTGTCGATGTAGCCACTGATGATGACAAACTGGATGCTGGAGAAAGAGCTGAAGATTGCATCTTGTGGGACCTCGTCCACAACCTGCACCCAGAAATGTTTTTGGTTACCAAAAAGTGGAGCATGAACCTGAGCAGACAGACCTTATTCAGGATGTTTGAGGCTCCGATCATTCCTGTAACAGGCCACGGGTTGTAGCTGGAAGCAAAGACCTAGAATTATTGCTGAGGGGGTTCAGCTCATTCTGGGATGGAAGAGAGATGAGCAGTAGATTCATTTCACAAGGAAAATGGCCCATAATGGAAGCATGTAATGGGCCAATTTAGCCATCATATAGTGTCAGCTTGATGACTTTCCCTGAGGATTCTCTCCGTAGAATACTTATCGGGGGCTGTTAAGATCGCATTTCAGAAAAAATACCCCGTCATTCTGAAACATTTCGGAGATGCATTCTCAAACAGCATCACAGCACTCTGGGAGTTCCCTGAAACCCCCACCATGTAAATGACTCCAGTATCGGCCCTTCAGGGTAACCCCACGCCACAGATGCCGGCAGCCTGGGGCGCCCCAGCTGATGATGTCACCTGCAGGCCCTGTCGGCAGGGGTTCCCATCGCTGCTGTTGACGGGCAGCATGTAGCGGATGATGGGCGGATCGCGACTGGGGTCGATGGTGCCCTTGCATAGGCTGTTGTTGTGCTCGCCATTCAGGACCAGATCACTGGCATTGTAGCCTCCCCACTGCGCCGTGCACAGGTTCACCTCCAGGGTGATGTTATTGGTGCCACAGTCTACCACAAGGTCCCGGTTGTCTGCGGGCAACCAAGAAGCAAATGAGAAGGAAAGATAAGGAGAAAAGAGGGAGAGTCCAGACGAGACGTGAGCCAGAGGGAGATTAGCGGTAGAAGCTAACTAGCCCAGAAGCATAACTTAGCCAGGCCAGCAGCAAACAGGAAGTTTGCACCCTAATTTAATTCAAAAGGAGAGACCGCTGACCCAGCGAGATGATGGAGGTGAACTCACCGGGCATTCTGTTGTAGACGGTAGAGCAGTTGTTGATTTGGGCATTCCCGGGATGTAGGAGGAGAATCACAGTAAGGACACAGAGTAACAGCATCATCACTGGACCAGAGAGAGACACACAGCATCATCACTGGACCGGACACACATACAAACTGACCAGCTTGCGGTTCATGGTGAGCAGCCATTTAATATTTATTACGCGCAGAATTAGGAACATTGTACGCATGTAAGCCTTTCTCATCTGTGGACATATGGTCCCTACCTGCTTGTGTCATGTTCTGTGTGTCTTTGAGTAATGGGTTGGGGCTTTTATAGTGCCTGGATGACACATAGGAGTAGTCCACCCTCAGAGAGAATGTATACCTCTTGGGCGTCTACTCCGGCAAAGCATGAAGCACCACCCTTAAACTCCGAACATCAAGAACCTCCTAGATGACAACATCAGTTCTCCCACAATTGGGTCAGATTTCCCTGAGACTATTTCTGTGAACTACTCCAGTCAATGTCCTGCAATTTCATTAAGAAAATTTGTTCAAATTGCCCAAAAGAATAACATTATGTGTAAAGAACTTCTTGTGTAATGTGTAAGTAAATATTAGCGATTCATCAACAATAATCTTAGATAAGATAGTGAAAAAGGAAATTAAAGTTCAACATCATATACATACTTTTATGGGAAATAATCTTCACACTAAGTATAAGCTTACATTTAAAATAACCACCTGTATAAATTACCACGTTATAGTGGTGGAGGTGAATTATGTGTCTCTGTGATCCCTGCTGTTGGGGGCAATTGTCCCTAGTATGGTCTTCCAAGGCAAACTGGTCCTAGGTGAGCCTGACACGGGTCCACCGTCCTGTGGGCCCATCACCTGTAGGGGGAGCCATTGGGGTTGGGTGCAGTGTAGATCGGGTGGCAGCTGAAGACAGAGACCTCGGCGGACTGATTGTCAGCTACCAAATCTGGCACTAGGAACATGGATGAATGGAGAAAGGCCATCTGGGGTCAGCTGGCATCTGGCCAAATGCCCTGGTGATTATTGTGCATGTGCAACATAATATTGATGTGATATTGCCCAGTCCTACCTCCACGACTGTAGGTTTGAACCATAATTGTGTGTAGCAGTGTGTGCTTACCTACCAAGACGTAGCCTTGTTTCCACCCTACAGTCAGAAAATCTCTGTATTGCCCTTATTGCGTGCTCTGTGATAGACTAGCATCCCTTTCAGGGTGTCCCCTGTATTCTGCTCTGTGCTTCCTGGGACAGATGACAGACACCAGGTCCACTGTCACCATTCACTGGACAAGCAGTTATGGAATTAGGGGGTGGGCACCATCTGAGCTGTAGTCCTAGTTCAGTCCCATGGAAGGGTGACATCTTGGATGTGACTTAAAAACTGTAGCATCGTGGGTGCAGCCCGCAATCTGCCACCCTACACAGGCCGTCATGGAAAACAGACTCACTGATGGACTCTAGCTTTGCCCTCAACCACAGTTTACACTTTGCTTTTAGCAAGCAAGACCATTCATTCTTTCTCAGTAATATTAACATGCCGGGGGGGGGGGGGTCAGCCAGGTGACCTTGGACCTCCATACTTGGGAGTTTTCGGTTCCTCTCCTGCGTTGTCATGTGGCTTGCTTTCTTTCATTTCTTTGTCTTTTCTTTTCCCTATTTTTGTATTATTCTGTCTTAATGATGTAATATATCACAACACAACCATGTAAAGTGCCTTGGGTCCACGCTGTTGTGAAAGGCGCTATACGAATTGAATTGAACTGGAGAAAAATTAAGGTGCAGATAAGATCTACGTTGCTATTCTCCGTGTCTCAGTATGACGCATGGCAGGGAGATTTGAAGGGCTTGGAAGCAGATTTGACTACAGGTAACACCTGTGTAACCTTGCAGTGGTGAGCCCACATTTAACAGGTCTTACGCAAAGGAATCATTGACCAGCTCCCGAAAACTAATTAGTCAGCAATAAGCCTGTAAATTCAAGCATTTCTGAGGGGGTGACACATTACATCTATATCCAAGACCTGTCATGAAGACCGACCACAATTGCCTGATACATCTCGAAGTGTGCTTCCCTTGGGAACTAAACACATAGCGTGGTAATCAGGTATCACATAGCATGAGGCGTGACACGGAGAGGAGTGAAATGCAGGTTTCGTTAACAATATCACGGCACACACCTCCGTCTGCCCTGGCGGTGTCACGAGCCGCTATGAGGCGAGTCAATCGCATGGCCTAGCCGCAGGCTAGAGGGCCGCTCGGAATGAGACGGAGCATTGTCCAAGACAAAAACACGGGGCTACAGATCCGGGTCAGCTTGTGTCTATCCCACATTTGGGGCAGGTAAGGATTTTTCCACTTTTAGAAAAAGGAGTATCATCTGCCCACGGCTTTTTCATTTGTCTAGCTGCCTTGAAAGCATCAATAGGAACATGTTCTAGAAGGTGAAATGCAGATTTTTAATTGCCGTAATCAAATGCTCAGTAAGCCCCAGGCCCGACTGTGGACACAAAGTCAGAATAAGTGTAGGTTTACATATCAGTTGGAGTAAAGAGAACAAGGAGACGACAAAGAAAAAATCTAAATCTTATATCCTTTCCTGAGATTGCAACATGCCCATTACGCTTATTGAAGTGCCGAAAGTGTTTATAAATGGATATATTGCAAAGCATATGGAAATGCACTGCAGACAAATAATCCCAGGAGGGACCGTCGCTGGAACATCTGGGGAGCAGAGTATGATCAAGCATTGCATCCTGTATTTTAATAGCCAGAGGGTCCAATAGCTGAATGCTGCAGGAACACCCTCTCGTCTCAGCCCCCCCACCCCAAAATCACCAGCGAAACCGGAAACCAATTTCTCCCAGACAATGACAGCTGGAACATGATCAGATGCCATCAAACAACCAGCAGAAGCAATGAGAGCTGGAACTCCTGAAAGATAACACTGAGAACAGACTCTGACAAAACTGAAACAGAACACCACACAGCTATAGAATTATTCATGAGCCTATACCAGAGGGCTTAAGGTAACACCCTCCTACTCATTTCAATCTCTCATGAGACACCATATACTGGGGACACACACATGAAGACAATAAGACAGGATTCAGATTGTGCACAGACTCTTGGGGTCATAAAATGCAATCAATGGGTCAGTGTCTGGTTACCCAAGGTCATTTCAGGTTATACTTTATGTAAAATCCCTCACCCTTAAACCACAACTTTAAGCACAGAATATCCAGGATCCACTTATAAGCACAAGGCCAGATCGTTATTCAAGGGAGCAACACTACCACCAGAGGATATGAGAAACAAGCACAAATTGCCACACACACTATGTAATCTCAAAGCTAAACAATTTAACACCTTAGACATTTAGTGTCCTGCACACAACCCCCTATTACCCCCCACCCCTGGGGGGGCACAAGTTGCTACATATGCTGCCATCTATTGGACACCAAAGAAACATGCACTTCTCCCTCCTATGCCAAAGTAGTCAGTTTAAAATGCCACTTTTATTTTTCAGCCTTTTTTGAGCAGTTACAGTTTAAGACGACATAAAAAGAGTTTAATAAAATTTAGGTATAAAAGTACTTCAAAGGCAAGGCCTTGCCCCATAAATAATTTCATAGATTTATAGGTTTAAATTTAAAGTTTGCACCACTTCAGCACCATCCGGGAGGGAGGCTGAATCCGCAGCACATGCTAGGAACGATTCTTGCTGACCCAGTGGTACCGGTCCACACGTGGCCCAGAGAAGGCAAATGAAGCCCTATAGTTCTTGAAGGGCTTGTTCTGTAGGTAGTATACAGGCGTCTGATGCTGCTGGTACCCATCGCCAGAGTAGATCTTCCTCTTTGGGTAGAGCGACCAGGGCTGTGCAACCGGCTTGGAGAATTCACTGGCCTGCAGGAGACAAGACAGTGTCAAAACAGAACCAAGCGGACTATCCACACCAGCCAACTGGCATTAGGTGGCGTGTGGTCAACACCAGGGGTGCTAGATTAGCACGTGATCTCTGACTCCAGATTTTAAGGTTCAGTTCTTTCTGTGGATTTCATAGAAGCCGTGAAGTCTGGGTCACAGACACCACTGTAGAGCCACCGTAGAGCCGGCAGATGCCAAGGGTCGTTGGCCCACCTGGTAGACGCTGTTGGGATTGCTCACGGTGGGGATGCTCTTGTGCTCAGAAAGAGAGCTTCCACTGCTAAGGCTGCTGTTCACGCTGCTGTTACAGGTCCCAGACTCCTCGTCGGAGGAGCTCCCAGAGTGATAGTCTGAGGAAGCCTTCTCCACCGCACTGTTGATCCAGCGGGAGAACTCGCCATCATCTGGATGGCTCTCCAGTGGAGCCACACAGAAAGGGGAGCTCTTCTCACCATACCTTGTGGATATAAACCATCAACCTTAGATCAAAGAGCCACAGATTTGAATGGACCATTGTAAAGAGGCAGCCTGTCACCTGCATGACACCTCAAAGGGATCCACCCAAATGGTCATCTCCTTTGGCAATCCCAGGTCATCGTAGTCTATGTCACTACGTCTACAAGCTTGATCCAAGACTGCATCCTTGCACTGTGCTTTATTCATCCTTAAACATCTAGATGGAATCAAAAACATTACAATGTCATAATGTTAAAGCTGCAAAGTATGCCAGGGTTCAGTTTATAGAAAATACTCCATACTCAACCTTTAGTTAGAGGCCAGCTGCCTGTGTGAACTTGGCTAACAGAGCGGAGTAAAGCTCACCGAAAAGCTTGACCTCTGCTCGGGTTGTCCGGGTACCAGTGGCTCTTGTATTTCTCAAAGAGAACCGACGTGAGCTCCACCGCGAACTTCTCCCTGCTGCGCCGGTCCAGCTTCCCGTGTTTCTTGGCCAGTCTAGTGATAAAGAACACAGTAGCTGCGATTTCCTCCTTCATTCTCTTAAAGAACCTCGTTTTTTAAAATTTAAAAAATATTAAGTACCGTACTTAGGTACACGCTTTGTTTTGCAACTCTAGTAACAGTAGTTACTTTGGTTAGTATCCGATTAACCACCATAAACAAACGCATAGGCGTTTTTACGAAGTGCTTACTACGTGTATTATATATAAAAATGCGTAAGGGCAAAACAGGTGTTACGCGTTAACTTTTGCATCACCTGTGTTCTATTACTATTTTCTCTGTTTTATTTGCGTAGAGCCGTTGGAAGTTCAAGCAGGATAGCGATTGTAATGGTAATAATTGTAGCGCGTTATAACTTGTTTTTTCTGCTTATAGGTTGGTAGGTTTCTGTTGTTTCATTTGATTTCTCGGTAACGCAGATTCTTTTAATCAGATGTTGAAACTTATCAAGCTGTACACGTAAGGATTAAATGTACTTTGTCCAAATATAGTTTAATTTATTTTGTATAGTCATTACCATTTGAATTGTTGGGGATGTTGACCCCGCGATATTTGTCGTATAAAGATATTTGCGAATGACAGTAGGAACAATTCCTGGAAATAGCCAGACTATATGATCGATTGCAAATAAACAGAATTGTTTTCCTCTGACCTCAAATTACCCTACTTCACCGGTATGTTTCTTCTTCCAAAGTTAAAAACTTTTGTGCTTTTTTTCCCGTGCATAACGTGTTACCGGTAGCGTGACGAGTCGAAGATTTTTTTGTTTGTTTTTTTGCCCGACCCGGGTCTGTAATAAAAGTTGCTGTCACAGTCCCACCGGACCGGGCTCTTAGCCAGCTGCTTCTAGCCACTGACCTCTCTATTTCCTTCGCCCTACTCTGGGATTCATGGCTTTTAAATCTGAAACTGTGCTTCAACCGTCCTATAGGATATTTGTTCATACCGTCAGTGTTTGTCTAGTCTGTGCAACTTTTTTCCTATTTAAACCCTGGTACTTTAAGTTCCTCTTTGTTAAAGAATCCAACTTGAAACAATTTCACACACAATGGATTCTGGAAAGTAAATAGTGATTTATGTTTGTGCCATGTTGCAACATGGTGTAATATTGCGGCAGTGAGCACAGACTTTCTAAATAGGCCTATAGGGATGCTGGTGAGAGTTGGGGTCACTGCTTTTGGTTTGCCAGACCAGGCTGTGCCTGGTGGGGTAGCAGCATTTCTGACAAAATCACTTCCATTCATTGATGAGTACTGTAGGTTTGCAAAGGTGTAGAAAATTTTCAGAAACTTTCCATTACGTGGGAAGTTAAGCTGGGAGAATTTTGGAAATTCCAAGTTGGAAACTTTCCATGGGAATATATGGGAATTAACAGGAAACTTCTCAGAATTTTGCGACCCTATTAATGAGCCCACATTTAAGCTAGAGTCAGCTTTAAGTCAGTCCTAAGTGCTGATAACAGGGAGGGGGAACTGGTAGCTGGTGATCCATTAGATCTATTATACACTTAATTGTCTGGTTGCTTAGCAAACACATCACCCCTCCCCCAGCAGAATCCATGCCGAAAACTGTACTAAAGAGCCTGAGTGGAAACAGATGCACCTTGGCACGCTTTGATCTCCATTTGTTTACGAGGATGGATCATGCAGACCTCGCACAACAGAAGCTGTATGGCTGTAACTAGAATGTGTCCCAGTGCAAGATAAGTCACCAGCATTAGCTGGAGGGATGGAAGCTCAGCCCTCTGTGGGACACATTAGTTCCAATTAGCAACCTATTATCACAAAGAAAGAAGAGCTCAGACTGCATGACTAACTCTCAGTGGATTTATATTAATCTCAATTATTATGGCAGAACTCACTTTGGGTACAGATACCTCATAAAAGAAAATAATGACTGTTATTAAGAACTCTGCACGGGGTGTCTGACCTCTGGTGTGCCTGGATGATTTACGCGTCTTACAGGTCTAGGCGTGAACTGACACCGGAGGTGTTTTACTCAGGCGTTCATTTCATGGCAGTTGTGTAATCAAATGTGCTTTGTGTTCTAAGTTATGGCTGATGCGCTTGTCAACGCAGGAAGAATATGGTCAAAAATGGAGACATCTTTGGGCAATGTGCAATTTATGGGTCCCCGGTGGGTAATTATGTTTTCTGATTGTGAAAATTTTAATGAAAACTTGTAAGATCTGTGGGGCATGTGCAGGGGGTATCAGTGTTACCTCACACCTTTGGGGTTTGAATCACACCATGGCACTGTGTGTGTGTGTGTGTGTGTGTGTGTGTGTCTGCATGTGTGTGTGTGTCTGTGTGCGTGTGTGTGGAGTTTGTATGTTCTCCCTCTTTCATGTGGGTTTGAATCCCCATTAGTGTGGACCCCCCAGCTCATATGGTACCCCGGCTTCCCCCAATAATCTAAGGACATGACCGGCATCCTTAAATAGCCCGTGACGTATTTGTCTCCTGGAAGGGACACATCTCAGATGTACATCTGACTATGCTGCCTCCCACCCTGATGAGGATAAATGACTGTGAGAGAGGGGACTTTATTAAACCCTCACAGGGAAGTTGACGTTGACGCATCAACATATAACACCATTTAACATGCGTCACAACTGGCATGTTTAAAATAAAATTCAAATAAGATAAAACAAAGATAAAAATGTATGATCATCATAATAATGTACAAATAATTGCCAGTGTTGTGCAAGTAAAGTGCAGGATACGTCAACGGCTTGCCAGACAATGACGTGAACTGTTGTAAAATGCAATGGCGGTCGGTAGGAATGACTTCCTGAAACGGCCCTCGTTACAGCGGAGCTGGATGAGCCTGTAGATGCTCTGCAAAGCAGCACATTGTGCAGGGGAAGTTTGTCATTATCCATAATGGAGAGCAGTTTATTGGTTATTCTCTTCTCCACCGCTGACTCAAAGGTGTCCAAGGTGGAGCCTGGAATGGAGCTGGCCATTCTGATTGGCTCGTTCGGTCTGTTTCTGTCTTTTGCTGTGCTACTGCTTCCCTAACACACCACTGCTACAACAAACTGCACTGAAGATTTCCAAATTCTTGTTGCACATTGCTATTATCAAACTCCTCATCTTCACAGCACGTCACAGTACTGGAAAGGACGATGTCCAGTAGTGTGGACGACATCCATAGCAACATGTGAACATTATGCAGTGGTGCTTCACTGACTACTCACAGTTCTTGCGAGTATCAAATAATATGTTTCTGCCAGTGCTGGCAGGTCATTGGCAGAGCTTTTAAACAGCTTGGCTCATATGCAGTGCTGTTAGAAGATTGTTGTCCTGCTGTTACAGTCACCAACCAGGGGTGTTACCCAGAAAGGATCGTTGGGTATGTGGGTTTTCACTGCAATTTTCTAATTAGATTACTAATTAGAGGACTGATTGGCTGACTTGTTCTCACACCTGGGTTACCCCCAAATCCTGCATACACACTGGGCACCCCTGCAGCAAAAGCTGCTTCATTAATCTCTAGAAAAGCGTATGTGAAAAGAAAAGAATGGAATTGATATTAAGCTTATAATTTTATTTTTAGCATTAATAATCTTAAGTTACATATGCATGTAAGCTACTAGTCAAAAGTTTTTGCACACGCTGAGATTTTCGGCATTTGCATGTTACTCACTTAACATTTACTAAAATTACACTCAGTATTCTTTGCTAACAAATGAATTTACAGTATGTTCACCATTTGAGTACCTTTATTAGCAAGAAAATGTCATATCTTTGATTCACTAAAGCAATGTCCTCTAGCATAACAACAGAAAAAAATCAAGGCATTCTTTCTACAATGAACATTAAAAACTGCTCTGTTTCATAGGATAAAACAGTTAATTAGTGCATTTAAAGTTAAAGGACAGCCTAGAATTTGACTCTGCCATCACCACACAACCAGTTAATAGGATGTCAGACATGCACTAGCTGTTACATACTCTTTGTGTGTTATAAAGGAAACTTGTTTTATTTGGCTTATATTTTCATTTACAGTTGTTCACTCAACTTTCAAAAATAAAAAAATCAGCAGTCTAAGAAATGGAAAAGTGGTTAAACAAATCTGTGGTGTGTGTGTGTGTGTGTGTGTGTGTGCGTGTGTGTGTCTGTGGGTGTGTGTGAATACTTGTATGTACATGTGTGTCTGGTAATGAAGGGACGTAAACTAATTTAATCAGCTTTTTAATAGGACTTTGTTGTCAAATCTAATAGCTTCATGACCACAGCATCAAAGTCATGTACACAAACTTTTTTCACCAATTACATAAAAATCCTTTCTTGTGCCATTAGCTACTGTACAATGTGGAGAAGTGGAAGTGGAAAAAAGCTTTAAAAACCCACAATCATAGTAATAAGGAGGCACGGTGAGGTATATGAACCCCTCGTCTGCCGTGCCACTTCCTGTGTCCCTGTCAGGTCACTGGAGAGCTTCCATCCATCCATCCATCCATCCTTCATCCATCCATCCTACGTCCAGGAACCTTATATCAGTAAAGGTACACAGCCGCTTCCTAAAACTCTCTGCAGCTTAGAGGAACGTTCCTTTGTGTCAATTCTTGCTCTGTAAGCCTTGATGTAGGTGTTTGTGATTCATACCACCTGTAGTATAAAAATTGTACAAAGAAACTGCGCTCATAATAAAACAATATCGCGGGAGGTGCTTCTGCTTAGTTCCCCTTGAGAGTAATAAGCGAAAAAAAAGTATTTCGGGTATGATATATGAAGTTGTATTGTGTCCTAATGTTCTTGTCATTTTTACATATTTTCTCGTACAATGATGTCTTCTCTAACGTAACAGCTCCGACCATAAACAAAGAAGTGTCAGAGTAATCCCTGTTCAACCACAGATTGGCCTGATAATTTCTTAAATCTAATTTCTGTGGTAAATTAGTTTGGGTTGTTAGTGGTATTGGGTCACGTTAAACAATTAAGGCATTTAATGTATCGGGCTCTCTACAAATACAGAATTGTACGTTTCTTTTTATAAAAGCATTCTATCAATATATTTTTGTATATCAATCACAATTAAACATCCTGATTTGCAATAGTGTATCAATGCTAGAACAATGCAATATCTAGGTCACAATTGCAAGGGGATTTCCGTTTTACAATTTTGCGCAAGCTTCAGTCAACACACGGCTCGTAGATCGAGCGTCCCCAAAAACTGCCATCACAACTTCACCGCGTTAATCCTGGTCAAAAATAGAAACTAGAATTCCTCTCACATTAGGCAAAGCTGCCACGACCAATATAAAAGATACGCATTAATATTTCGGTTCACTTAAAAAGTTATTGGTAATTAACAGGAGCAATATATGATTCCTCTGCCCCAATACCTTTTGTTGATTATATTAATGATTATCAAATATGTTACGTTTTCTCTTAATATATTACGAACAAAGTTGCCGTTTCTGAAACTAATTTGGCCATTGAACTACATTGCAACTGTTTCCGTCGTCCCTAAGGGTATTAGAATTATTTTAATTTACTTCACGCATTAAAGTGTACAGTAATAGCAAGGCGCCATAGCCTACTAATATAATTTATCCCATTAGTCAGTGTGCAGCCATGTTTTAAGGTTTTGCAGCTCAGTCCTTTTTTTCCAGAACAAAAAGCTGTCTTTGTTGCATGGCTATTTTTTCCTCATGGGAAATGGGAGGGGGCCGGGGAGAGGAGGAGGAAGGTCTGGTTGGTAAACAGGCAGTTTGGGCATCTTCTCGAGTAAGTTTTCCCCGATGTTTGACGTTGTGCTTTGATCAGACATGTTCACTTGCTCCCTCCCAGCCCATAAACACGCCAAATTACCGCCGTCGGGTCTTGCGGCTCTAGTCTGAGCTCAGTGGTCTTTCCGCTCCGGCGAACTAAAACCAGCGGAAAAACCGCAGGATGCTGCTTAAGCGGCCGCCCAGCTGCACGCAGTAGTTGCGGTGCGTGAATCGGGATGAAATTATGAAGATATTGTGACATGGATTTTATGAAACTGTTATGGATTGTGGTTTCCATACTCTGCTGCTCGTGTTATGCATCTGAGCTGTTCAGTGGTGAGTATAAACCACATGATTTATCGAGCCGTCAGAGTTAAGCGGTGATTTTTATATTTTATCCTCGATTTTTATTATTTTTAGCAGAATAACAAGACAGTTAGCAATTTTATTGCGTTATCCACCCCCGCTGTGGATCTGGTTTGAAGACTCAGCAACTTAACTTTCTTCAGCATAGAAATTCACAAAATACTAGATATTTCGGCTTATATTTTTTCATTGAGTGTTTAATGCATAAAGGAAGTTCGTGGCTAAGCAGAGGTGTCAGTGTTGAATATCCTGGAGCAAAGTCGCCCCAGTGTGGCGTAAGGAAGTCGGTATTTTAGGCTGTTTTTTGCAGAAATGTGTTGAATGATTTTCATTGGCAATGTCTGTTTTAACCCGCAACCCTGTCCAGGGTTAATGGCTGATGTGAGGATGGATGAAATTTTCTTTCTAAAATTCTGCTGACATTTATTTCAATAGCTTTTTAAAGAGATCTAATTTGATTTCGGATTCATTATAAAATCCTATGTTTTCAAACTTTTGTCTCCACGAAACTGTACAAGAATCGCACTATAGGCTACCTGTACTTTCTTCTGCAATATAAATGTGAATTTGTTGTTGGCAAGACTGTCATTGTAAATTTTGTGAATTTAAAACGAAAAAAACTATTGCTTTACAGTGATCCGTTTAATGTATATTTATTTGATTTGACTTTAATGACTATATTAGCTGTAAGATGACTCTTAAAAAGGAAAAGACTTATTGGCTTGTTACGTTTTGCTCACTAGAATAGATTCCTTTGTTGAGTTTCCCATCCTGCGTACGTACTTTTTTCCTGCCGCTCTCCATTCTCCAAGGTCAGCTCATTTGCCTGCGAGGAACGGAGCGGCCGTGCTACAGGATAGTCTATATCCCCGACGGCAGCCGCAGGCTAACCTTCGCCCAAGCCAGCCGAGCCTGCCGGACCGAAGGCGGCGAGCTCCTCAGCGTCGAGACCGAGAGCGAGCAGCTCCTCATCGTACAGTTCATCCAGCAACTCCCGGCCGCCGAGGGCTACTTCTGGATCGGGCTCCGCAGGAACCACGAAGACCAGGGGCTTGGCAGCGATTGCGGCGCAGACTATCGTTGGCTGGATGGCAGCCAGGCCACATTCAGGTATTAAGTAATGCCTTGAGAGGGTTTAGCGGTTTAAAAAAAAAGTGACACATGACACAGTGGTTGTAGGGTGAAATCTCTAGAGAAGAATGTATATCCAAGGGGGCAACCTCGTGTATAAATCAGTCCTTAATGGGATTGTAGCCATAAAACTAACATGCCATTGATGTTTAAGTGCTTGTGGGCAGCATAGTTACATAGGACTTGTTATGAATGCTTTGCAGAAACTGGCTGTTAGGCGAACCGTCTTGTGGGCAGCAGGCATGCGTGCTGATGCAGCTAAGCCCCTCACCACCCAGGGGGGGGTGGCGCTTTGATAGGCTTCCCTGGGCCAATGGGGACTGCAGCTCCAGGAACCATTTCATCTGCAAGTACCCCAAAGGTGACAACCACTGCATGGCCATGTGGGCAGGAACAGGAACCAAGTTTTCCAGTGATGAAGGAAATAGGTTCCTTAGGTGATGATGTTCTTTATCCTGTTTCCAGAAAACCCTCAGAAGACTCTCAAAGCAGAAGAGGAGAGAATCACAGGTGAATCCACTTCGCTGCATTAAATACTGAAAGTCTGCCAGTGGTGTTAGATGCCTCACTGAATACCGTCACATGTTAAAAAGCACTTTAGATCAACATTCTGTGAGCACCGAAAAGCTACTGTATGTGGTGTAAGAAGCCATCATCAGACCATCTTCCCTACTTAGAGGCAGTTGCCCAATGGCGACACCCACTGGTCAGGAAGATGCAATGACGTCAAACTGACTTCCTTGTTCATTTAAATGTCTCATTAAGTTTCATTCATCCATCCATTTTCTGAAACTGCTTAATCCTAACCAGGGTCGCGGGGGGGTGGGGGGGGTGGTACCGGAGCCTATCCCGGGAACTACGGGCGCGGGCGAGAACAAACCCTGTCATTAAGTTTCATTCCTCTTCTAATTAAATGTACTGTTAACTTCAAATTTGTACTCTTTAAAAAGCATCTGATGTCACTCTATATATATATTTTATCTGGAAATATTAAAACAAAATAGGAGAGGTTTTTTAAAACATGAGTTGTCCCTCCTTCATCCCTGACCAGAAAAGTAGTTATAACATAGAAGGATGGATGGATGGATAGATGGATGGATGGATGGAGTAGTTCTTATTGAAATAGCTGCATGATTGTATGTTAGAACATGTCAGAAATTGTCTTTCCCAGTTCATTCTAAAAGGTTGTTTGTTAAAGCTCAGTTTTTCTGCTCCTCAGAAGCTCCAGCCATGACTGTCCTGCCAAATAACCCTCTAGTCACGATAAACACTGCAGAACTGGAAGTAGCGTCTGAATCAGCTGGTACTCCAGTATACTCATCATTCACATTCCATCGAATTGAATAAAACAGGATGCTTTGCTTTCAGATTTAGTTTTTTTTTTATGTATGAATTTTCCTTTAAAGGTTTCATGTGATAACCTTGATATTTCAACTAGAACAGTCGTTGAAAATGTCCAGTTTAGTCCATTTATTTCCATTGTCTTTTCAAATGTGTAAGGTTCCTGTTTGGAGACTCTTGATTTCCCTCTCATCCAGGCCTCGGCACTGATCTCACTTACATCATCTGGCCCTCTGTTGGTCTCCTAATGTTCCTGGTGGTGGGTTCAGGAGTCATATCCTTCAGATTCCTTACCGCAGGGTAAGAAATTCCCTCTGTTCAACACACTCATGGGAGTTTTACTTACACAGATTGTACAGGAGTTCGGTGCAAGCAACTAGAGGAGGCGAGCCCAACCAATCAGATGTCTTGGTCCTGCCTAGTTGTTTGGAAATCACCTCCTCCGCAATCTGATTGGTTAACTCTCTCTTACAATCTGATTGGCTATCTCTCTGAACCAGTCATTTTTCCTTCTGCCTTCAGAACATTTTTTTGTTCAACACACCCAAGCAGCTTCCCATCCAACCCACATATGTGTGTAGTAATCACTAGTGAATGTGCTGTTGTCCAGTGTAAGAGTGTGTCGTAATAATGTACACTATTAGAAAAAAAACTTACCAGTTTCTACCTTTGAGGGTACAATTACTTGTCACTGGGGCGGTACCGTCATGCCAGTTGTACCCTAGCTGTACAATCTTTTAAGATACAGAAATGGACTCTGGAACAGAGGTATGAAGTTCAGGTCCAGAAAGTAAACATCCAAACCAAAATTTTGTTTCAACCAACCATTGGAGTGTAAAGAGTCACATTCACACAGTATTCGACTGGTTGGTTGAAATAAAATCTTGGTCTCGATTTTTACTTTCTGGTCCTCAAATGGTTTGTACCATTGGGGGTTTATTACTGTTTTTATTACCTTGGGGAACAAAACTGTACAAGGGCTGTAACCTTTTTTCTGGCAGTGAATATGCTGGTTGAGGTGTGTGGAGTAACTTTATGTGTGTATTTGCCTGCAGGAGAAAAGCACAAGCGTACCGCGCTTCACAGGGGAGTTTTGATGCCCGCAGCCCAGGCACCAGGAGCCACAGTGAGGGTCACAGCGTCACACAGCAAGTGTCCCCCAGCTGCCCTCTCCCTCAGCCTCTGCCCAACGACTACGAGAATCTGCCAGCCAGGAACATAGAGAGCGGCTTTGTCACGAACGACATCTATGAGGCCTGCCTTGGCCATGGACAGCCTTCCTCCGGAACTGGATGGGTGGAAAATGAGATCTATGGCTGATAGTTGGCTGTTGAATTTCTGCAATTCATCGTGAACTTGGAGTGGACAGCACCCCCTAAAGGCTGGGGGGAGTTATTTCTGTATGTATGAGCACGTCTCATGCAGGTTCTGCTGTCCTTGTTGCAAGGAGTTAAAGTGAAGATAGCAGTCAAGCTTAAAGTACGTGGGGTGGAAACTGGCCTTTGGTACTAACTGACAGTTTACTGTTCACATTGTAATTTCTACATTTCCTCTAGTGGCTCCATACTGTGACACATTGACATGGTCTGCAAACACATAGTTAAACTTTAAAGGTTCACTAGAAAAGAAACCTGTCGATTCATGGGTTTATCCACCCAAAACAGCCTCCTTTGTGTTTAAGCGACCTTGGGGTTTTGACATTTCATCTGCAGCTTGCCGGTGGACCGTTCACCCTGGTGGGGGGGAATGCCGTCACAGAAAGCCCAGCCGCATCCCCACAGTGCAGGTGCATGAGCTCGTCACTAAAAACTAACAAGCCAGGAATGTGCCCAGCATGACATAAAGCATCGACGCAAAATAAACACCCAAAATATCACGGCTGTCATTTTTTTGTCTTCATTAGCAAGAGATCTAAATTTATCCCTCTCACAGCCTTGAATACAAACCGGTTTGGGTTTCTGTATCGACTTAAGAAATTTCAAGTTAAACATGATTCCGTGTCCCCACAATACAAGACCATAATATTCCATTGATTATGCATTGGCTAATAATCACTAATGAATGAATTTGAAAGGTGTGCTGAATACGCAATTGGGGAAGCCCGGTATTGCTATTCAGTCTGGAACAATGTTGTCGCTCAGTCTGTTGAGTGAGTCACGGTTGGAAATCTCTTTGTGTCTGACTGCAGGCCCCATCCACAGTGCTGATGATATTAATATTTACGTCTTAGTGTAATGAGTGCAGAGGGTGGAGTTCTGTTCAGCCGGAACACGTAATGCTAGTTTGGTGGGAAAGGTAAGATCTCGCAGGAAGATTTTGATTCATAAAGGCTAAAACAGCCTAGATGGGGTTTTCAATAAAATGTTTAAAAGCCACCATAGAGAAGACCTGTTGATTACCTAAATATTTATGAAGTATAAACATGTCTCTGTGTCATTCCTTCCAACTACTCAGAAAATACAAAAACATTTCCATTAACAGAATAAAATTACATTATAATTATTATAATATATTTTTGGTGCAGCACGGTGGTGCAGTGGTTCGCACTCTCACCTCACACCTCTGTGATCAGGGTTCAAGTCTCTGCCTTGCCTTTGTGTGTGGAATTTGCATGTTCTCCCCATGTCATTGTAGGGTTTCCTCTGGGGACTCTGGCCTTCCCCCATGTACCAAAAACATGATGAGGTTAGTTGGAGTTCCCAAATTGCCCATAGCTGTGCATGTGTGTGTGTGTACCCTGTGATGGGTTCTTCCCCACCTTTCACCTGTAGGCTCTGGCAACCCTAACTAGGATGGTTTCAGAAAATGGATGGATGGATAATATATTTTTATGTTAATTATGTAGCACAGTGGGGAACATGGTGGACTCGCAGTTCTGTGTGTGTGGCATTTGCATGTTCTGGAGGGTTTTTCTGGGTTACCCAGCACACAGGGGACAGTCTGTGTCTCAGTGGGCTAAGCCTCTGGGCCTGTGATCAGAATCACTGGTTTGAGCTCAGCCTCTGCACATCGGTGGCTCCTTGAGCAAGGCCCTTAACCCCCAGCTCCCTGGGTGCTGCTATGGGTGGCTGCCCTTCACAGCCAGCTTGCTCTCACCTACAGGGAGCAAGCTGGAGGAAGCATAAAGAGAATTTTCCCATAGGGATCAGCAAGAGTATTTATTATTATTATTATTATACAGTTTAGGTGAAGTTGTGTCTCTAAATTGGTTAGTGTTCATGTTCCCTCACTTGAATTAGCATCTTTTCCAGCATACCATTTGCCTTGTATTTTCTAGTAGGGAATTCAGAACTGCATTGATACTTCATTAATTCCCTTGGGAAATTCCTTTTACGCCGTTTTCCATCAGAAGCCTGAGTACTGAGAATTCCACAGGTATCTGTGTTTAAACTCACGTGCGAAATGACAACTTCCACCAGATGGGGGCGCTGCTAAATCGCGGACAAAGTGACAGCAAACCCGAGAAGAAGCGCCGCCACTTCGCTCGAGTTAGCTTGCTAACAGGGCAGTCAGTATTTTCGCCTGGGAATCTTCAATAAATTCTCTAAGTGAAAACTGAAAAAAAAGTGAAAATTAACTTGCTGTCGTATCCGTTTTCAATTTTTATGAAGATTCCCTTGAATGACTTCGGAAAACATTACCAAGTGCAATAGTTTCGTTTAAAAAAACTTTTTAATCTACTCTGTAAATACGTGCCTGTTTTCCTACCGGTAAAGTACGAAATGAAATAAATTTAGAGTTGACTTTAAATTTGACCAAAATATATTATATTATATTATATTATATCGATGTATCCTACTGTCATATTGAAGCTAATCCTAACCAAGTATCTAATCAATATTTTGCTTTCTCTGCAAAACTGATTTCACACGGGACATGGGGACCACAGCTTTGAGGCACCAAAGTGGTGTGAATTTCAAAGGTAGAAGTGTAAATATTAGTTTTGGCAGTTTTATTTGGTAAGGACTTAGACGTAATTTGAAAAGAAATGTATATGCATGACAGTACTGTCGGTTTTTCTCATTATTAATAATGTAACACTTAGATACTTGTATGCAGAATCAAACACTTGGAAATACCGGCTGCGTTTAAGTCCCTCCACTTCAGGAGGCGAAGGTGTTCTTGCCGAAGCGGCTCCGCCGGCGGCCGCTGCCTCCAGAAAGCGCCGGTGTTTGACGCAAGAGGCGGGTCTGGTTGCCGTGGAGACGGATTGGCAGCGAAGCGCGGAGCCGCTTCAAAGGCCCGCCCCCCTCCGTACAAATACCCCCATGGGCTCTGACGTCAATGCACGTCAGCCGGAGAACACGATGCCTCCTGCGAGCCGACTCACTTACTCTCGCTAATAAAACTGAAATATTATAGCCCTATTGTATTGGAAAGACTGGTGCGACGGACCGCGGCGCTCGCTGGTGTCCCGGTATCTTTTCATTGGACCGAGTGCTCCGACAACCTTCGAGCTGGCTCTGCGAGCGGGGATCTTACTTTGTCTATTTTTAATAGACATATCCTAGCAGACGGCGTATTTTTCGCCCGTCTTGGTTAATCTTGAAGCCCAAACCGTGGTGAATCCCATCAGGCTGAAGCTTCATAATACAACCCCCATCCTCCGGTGCCCAGTTCCCCTGTAACAGCATGGTCATGGCTGACTGTCACCAAAAACCGATGCTTCGAACTCCAGTGCGAGTGGGATTTTATGACATCGAGCGCACTTTGGGAAAGGGGAATTTCGCAGTTGTCAAGCTGGCGAGACACCGCATCACCAAAACCGAGGTGAGTGTCGCCTCGGAGGCGCTTCTTCGCACACTCTTCGCCCGCCTTCCCCTGCAGTTCGGGTGGCCGGTGAATCCTCCGGGACTGGTTTTTAAATCATGCTCAGAATTAGTGCTTCCGCTGAAAGCATTGGCATTGGCCGTATCTAACTCCGATATGCACCAGTAAGTGCTGTAAAGAGCACTAAACACCGATTATATTGTTTTGAGGTATTTGTTGTTCATATGCACCGTTTACACCAGTGGTGGATGCCGATTGTCTGCTGGTGACCTTTTGCAAAAGTTACTTTTGACTTGAACTACCTGAGGCAGTGCTGGGCTGTGCAGGAGCCGAAGCCTGTGAATTATCTGCTATTCTAATTTCACAGTCGCCTCCTTAAACAGATTCAACCAACTGTTGTTAGTGCTTATTCTAAAGTAAATGTCAACCCCAATCTGTGACGGAAAGCGTTGTCGACGCTGCCTGGGATGTGGGACAGTCGACGGTGCACATTGTACCGCTTATGTAACGCGCCGATTCACACGCACACGTACATGCACGCGGCGCCGAGTCCCCTGTGGCGCGAGAGGAAAGGAGAGGTCCTGTTCCTCTGGCCCGACGTCACGTGGGTTTGTCCCGGCGACGCTGCGTGGCACGACGCCGCGCTGGGCAGGTTACATTGCCTTAAGAAAGAGAACCGAGCTGCCTGATAATATCCCGACAACGTGTCCTATTGTCTGGACGACTTGATATATGGTTTAATAGATCCGACTGTGGAGAGGTACTGGGCCTGCGGTTGGGTATTAAATAAACAAGTGGCTTTGGTTTGTTTAGAGTGCTGACGTAGGGGAAATGCAAGTTAGTGTACAACAAACAGGCCGCAAGTGTCGTGGCACAAGTACACCAATGCAATATAGTGGTAGGACGAATATTAAATTTAAACTACCAGCTGATAAGGGGCAAGCGTCCATTACCTTAATTAGTGTAATAGATTGGGCACAATGAAAGTGCTCTGGCATTGCATTTATGGCTTCCTATTACCTTTAATCTCTGAGTGACCTTAAGTGACTTTTGTGGTTGTTTTTTTTGAGCCCGTAAGTATTGTGGTACATTTTTTTCGAAGTTTTTTTTTTTAGGACTTCACTGTATTTTTTTTCAAGCTCTCAGTACAAATTTGCCTCAATTTTACTCATCGTTTTGACAGATGTACAACTTAATAAGTAGCTTCATTATTCTACTGCATGACACTATACGGTCATGGCTGTTATTATAAGGTATTGGGATGACAGGGCTTTTAGATACAGTGGTCAGATGGCTGAATTAATAGCCCTAACAATAAGAAGGCATGATGTCGATTTAATAGTCACCTGTTTTAAATGGGACTATGAAATTGGCCCAAAATGGAAACTAGCAGTTATTTGAAGTTTTATGCATTCAAATTTGACATGCACAGTGTATGTAAGAGCAGCTCAGTAGTTTGACACTTTTTGTGCTTGCTGCTGGCTCTGTAAACACATCTCATACTCTAAGAAGGTCACTGAAAGTGATATTGTCGATATCCCAGATGTTGACTGTCGTGGTCTGAGCTGGCCTTTACATAAGCAGGTCACATGGGATGGCGCGGCTGTGTGAAGAAGGACCCTCACTGGTGCAGTGTGGTGTCCTCTTAGCCAGGAGAAGTCAAGTGTGTGTGTGTGTGTGTGTGTGTGTGTGTGTTGGGGGGCAGAGTGCAGGTGAATGCCACCATCTTTCAAAAACAGGAACCTGTGTGAGGCAAACCTCAGCCTGCAGTGGCTCACTCTACCTCAGCGTATTTAGGTACTGATTCTCATGCCTACTTCGCCGTCCTATTTATAGAGCAGTGCACGGTGGGGGGAAGGGGGGGCCGTCACCTTTGTGAAATGAGGGGTATAGCAGGCATGGTGGTTAAAGCTGCAGGTGCGAGGCCCTCAAGCAAAGCATTTTAACAGTTTCTGTACAATAAATAAAACTGTCGGGGAGGGATTGGCATCTGCTTATTTGGGCTGGGAGGCTCTGGTGGCCTGGGGTATTTGTGGCGATTCATTCAAAGTGTGTCAAACGTCAGTTTCTGATTTGCTTCGATAGTGTTGATGCAAGTTCTGAAAG